GAATTTGCTCCTCCGCACACTAACAAACCTATTGTCTGTGTAGGACCAAATTCACAAGCGCCACTCATTTCATGTGGATCAGAGAGCATAGGGGTCAAGTAATGTTTCAGGATTTATATTATTTTTCTTTCCATGCTCAGGCAGTCACTCTGAACTGTGTACAAACTGTGTACAAACCTCTCTTGTTACAACAAACACAAGCCACCTTTTGAATTGACCTTAAGACTGACTTGCGCTTGTAAAACTAATGCAGTCCTTGAATTGAAAAGTGAAATACAGTAGCTCCAGAAAAGCTTTGAAATTGAGAATGGATGGGCCAGTGAGCCAAGCAAGCTGGCAGATATTGTTACATAGCCGCTTCTGCTTTGTGCCAGTTAAGGGGTGCGACGGCTTATACCCATGTATTAGAATGCATGTATTAGTGACCCTGGGCATGGATACCTGTGGAAATGTCTTGTTTATAGATGAGGCTGTATGCCTGGAGTCCCCAACATGGTGCTCATGGGCATCATGGTACACTAACCCTTTGTATCTGCCAAGGACCCTTACGCCTCTAAAAAATATTATTTTTAAAATTATTTTTCTTCCCTTGCCTACTTTTTTTCGTGTCATTGGGCAGGGTGGTTCTGAGCATCCTTGGTTTTTCTTCTGTGAAATGAGTATTTTGTGATGCCCATGATTTCCCAAGTGCAATTTGTGAGAGTTACAGATCAATTAATGGAGGATTTTGCAGGTGTGCCTGTGGTTCTTAGAGGCTTCCACTCTCATCTGCCTGGAGCTGATGGGAATTTATATTCCAAAACACCTGGATGGCACCCGATTTCTCAAGGCTGCCCCACAGATATAAACGGTTTCATCTTAAGTCGAAACTGAGCTGCCTTCTGTGCCCTTGACTTGTAACAAAAGCATTGCACTGGTGTTCTTCAGTGTTTCTGGTACCAAGGGCACTTTTTTCTTTTTGCATGTGTGTACATTGTGCGTGGCTGAAGGCAACTGCACAACGGTGGAGTTTTGATGGGAAATTTCCTTATTTGTAGCATTTTGGACTTCGTTGCACAGAGTGCTCACATCCGCTTTACAAAATGAACGTGGCGTTTGTTGGTATAGACCACCCCTATTGATTTAGCTAGATGTCCCAAGTCGCTATTGTCCTAGCACCATTCAGGTTGGACACAGCTTGAAATGAACAGAATATAGGCAAGAGGCAGAGCTGTTTCCTAATGTTCCTTCTGTTTGTTTTAGTGGGGCTTGTTCAGAGAAAGGGGCAGTCGTGCCGTGGGTTTGCTAGCTGTGGCCTATGTTAAGCTGTCAAAAGGCCAATTACAGGATTACTCTGGTTTCCAGCAACACAAGGAATGTAGTATATTTGAAATATTTGCATTCCTATTTGGGTTCAAGTTCATGATTTGAGTACTGCCAGCTGAACTTGGCATCTGAACACTGGAAGTACATCCTTACCTGCAAGGGGTCCGTCATTTTTGCCTCTGTGTTCTTGGCTGTTCTGTGGCTTACTTTAGCAGGAGGATCAGCACCCCTAGGGCAGATTTTTCAACCCCTTGTTCCTTACTACAATTTCTTGCACAAATTTACCTGCCAGCTACATCCATGGTGGCCTCCACTCACATGTATTGCACTAAATGATGTGGAGCGGAGCAGCGATTTGCCACGTGGATATGCCAACTGCTGTCATGAGTTTATATTTCAAAAGTGAAATCGCTTTCCACCTATTGAGCCAAGCCTTGGGGTGAGCCACAATATGTGTGAATCAGCCAGCCTCCGTCTTCTAAGAGAACCAAGGGTGTCTAGCTCATATGAGCATCCCAGGTTGAGTCAAGGGTTTGAGTGGTTTTTTTCTCCAAAGAGAAAGGTTGCCCGTGAATTGGCAATGTTACGTTTCCTGATATGAAACATCTGCTGCACTGCATGAAATGAAAATCACTCCTGGTTTTGCCCCACTGCAAAGTTCCATATTAATTCAGAGCACAGCCAAAGCATTCTGAGAGTGTTTCCTCTGCCCTTGCTCCCCATCTCCCACTACACCAGCCTTTCTCAACCTGTGGGTCCCCAGATGTTGCTGAACTACAACTCCCATCACCCCTAGCTAGCAAGGCCAGAGCTCAGGGATGATGGGAGTTGTAGTCCAACAACATCTGGGGACCCACAGGTTGAGAACCGCTGCACTAGACTTTATGTGCTGCTGTTGTTCAGATGTCAGCGTGACTAGGTCATTTTCGGTTGTTGCTTTCAAGGGGTTTGTGCATCAGAGTGACTGCCAGTAGCATTTCATAGAATCATAAAACCTTAAAGTTGGAAGGGATCCAGAGGTCATCTAGTCCAACCCCCTGCAATGCAGGAATCTCAGCTAAAGCATCCATGACAGATGGCCCGTAGAAATCAAGGGTGCCAACAAATGAAAACTGGCCACCATTTAACAACAGTTCAAAGACATCCCATCCTGTCCGGCGGCCCCAGTTGCCCGGAAAGCATCCGTAGGCTTTGGTCATGGGCCAAGCCAAGCCAGGGCCCAGAGTGCCTCCCAGTTCTCTGTGGCTGCAATAGGGCTTGCCATGTGAACAAGGTCTACAGCCAGCCAAATCCTCTGTCTGTGGTTGGGACCCAAAGTCGTGCATTTGCAGTGGGGCTTCTTAAATGTTCTTCGTCCCTACTGAGCAGATAGCCCTGAATGTTGGGTTGGGAGAAGGATCTTAAACGCCATTGGCTGCAGCTGGGAGGGAAAATAGCCCGTGCTCCCTCTTTGGGATCCCGGTCCTTAGGTAGAAATGTTCCAGTGGCTGTCTCTGACCTTGGAAGTTCAGGGTCTCTGTGTTACGCCTCCTATCTTGGTCTGGCATGCATGCTGCCCAAACAACTTCTTCCATGTTTGGGGCACTTGCATGCCATGGTCTTTTTCTTTCTCAAGTGAGTTATTGATTGTAAAATACACGCAAGACTGTTAAAAATGCTCGATAATGTTACGGTGAGTACGTGAACAGTATTACTAATGACTTATAAATGATGATGATTATTTTTTATATGTGCCTGACGTTTCTCGTGCCACACGACGTTCGGTTTTGACTAAATGTGGGCATCTTAAAGAGACGGTTCAAGCCTTTGCTTTTACAACACAATGGTGCTCTTTCTTTCCTCTTCACGGCAACGCATCTCGCCATGTGTATATTCGCATAGCCATCCAAAGGAACTGCATCCGTTTTCAGAAATGAATGGGGTTTTCCCGCTCTTAACGACTTGCTTCAACCTTTTCACATCCAGGGTGTGTGTGCACAGTGGTTTGGTGTATGTGTGTGGTTCTCTCTTTTTACCTTGCTGCCAGCTTCTTTTGAGGAAAAAAAAACCTTCCAAAACATTTCCAGGTGCCAAGTGATTCTGCACCGCCTTTTGGATTGTGTATTCAGACAGTCTTAAAAATTATTTTATTTAACCTAATTAAAAAAGAAGAGCGCAGGTACTTGTGCCATTTGTTCTTCTAACAGTGCTGTTGTATAAAGACTTCCCTGTGGATTAAAAAAAATAAAAAAATCACTTGCTATGAATTGTTTATATTCCTGCCTCTCCCCCCCCCCCCACTATAACAAACCTTTCCTTTGTATTTGTACAGTGGTTCCGTGAAAGATGTTACCCTGACTTGATATTGTAACCAATAAACCGCTTTTAACTAGGATTTCTTTGCCTGCGATGGTTCATTTTCCTTCCTTTCTTCTCTCCTCCTTCTTTGGAAATATGAGTTAATATGGGACATGGCTGTATAATACTTACACCTCTTTCCTTATGTTCAGAACCATTTTTTATATGCCTAAGCATCTGATCTGTTACATAACTACCATATATACTGGGGTAGCTGCAGAGAAGTGTGAGTAAAATTTGCTCAGACAGTGGAGCTTGTCTGCTTCCATAAAGGCCATTGCCAGGGGACCCACCGAAACAGTATGGGACACTGGAAAGAGGGGAGATACTGCCAGAATTGAGGGAGGCTGCCTTTCATATATGATTTCCCTCCCCTCTAATCTTGCCTATATAGCTGATAAAATGCAATGAGCAAAATTGTTTGCTTGATTTATTAGCTGCCTAGTATAAAAACCACTTCAAGGGGTAGCAAAAGGTGGAAAGGTATCACAAAATATTAGATATCTAAATTGTCCCGAGATAGTGGTTTAGAAGGTAATAAATTGACTGTAATAATAGACATGGGAAGAATTAATGTGTGTGTGCATATATATATATCCATATAAATTATGCACATGTGCATACTACATTTTGAAATGAGCATTCTAGAAATGGTCAAATTCCATTTTAAAACAAGTTAGTCCCAGCTTAAACTAAATCACTGTAAGGTCTTAAAAGTGTGTTCTAGACTGTCTTCTATAGAAGCCTTCTCAATCTTGGCTGTGATCAAACTCTATAATTTTTTGCCTGTGGCTCCAGCATAAATCCTTTTGTGATACATGACCACTGGAATTAAACAGGGCAGTAATGTAAAGTGAAATCCTAATAATCTGTCACCAGTGCTCCTGAATTCCCATCACAAACTAACTTGAAAGTGTGGAAGATGCAGAATGTTAAACATCACATTTGATTTTGGACAACCAATATGACCATTCTGTTTTACTTAGAATTAAGTATGGTTTCCCTTAAAGAAGTAGAAATTACAGATTAAAGCTTATTAACAAGAACAGTCTGTCTGGATCAACCAATATTCTTTTTGGTTAGACCCTTGAATTAGATGAGCTTTAGTTTAGCAGCTAAATTTTAGCTACAGCAACAATTAAGCTTGGGCCTAGACTACATATTGTGAAATACTAGAACGAGTTTGGTGGTTCCTGCACAGATATCTAGATCTGCAATAGCTGAAACCTTGCTGGAAGAGGCACCTCATTCAAGTGGAGAAATCCTATTAAGAAAATTGTTGAGCTTTCGCAGCTGAAGCAGAGAGCGAGAGCTATCACTTGACTGCAGCAGGCTAAAATCATTTCAGGACACTTCACTACCAAAGAAGTCTAGAAGTTTATTTAGTTAGGACTTCCAACAATAAAGTGATAATCTTGGGAGGAAAATACCAATTGCAGTGAGGTTTTTAGTTTCCCCTTCGAGCCTTCGCAGTTTAGAGAGCAGAATTCTCCCAACGTGTCAAATCTTCATACATACAGCCAGCAAAGAAACATGGAACGACATGTATGACAAAAGTGAATGAAGAAAGCAGCTACTGAGTGAGTAGCTTTCAAATTCGTTGTGTTCCTTGGCCAATATAAATACCTACAAAATGTGCCATAACAAAAGATGTGTGTAAGTCTATCCGTTGTTTTTAGAGAATCGTAGACCTTAAATAGTTGCAGTCTGTACAGTTCATGGTGTCCTTTTAGTTTCACATTCATCAAATGTTAAAAATCCTACTGGCTGTATTCACAATGAAACACACCCACCCACCACCCACTTCCAAGGAGGAGAATCGCGTCAGACATTTCAGTGCACCAGAGTAAAAATACAAGAGTGAACCTCAATTTTTTTTGCTAAACAAAAGTCTCTACCAACCCAGCAGTTTTATTAGCCCTTCCTGAGCAGTGGATTTTCGTGTTCAAGCAACACTACAAAAACACGGGCTCTTTTACAACTAAGTTCTCCTTTTTGGTTTTAAAAAAACATGCATATTTTGTAACTGTACCTAAAAGAAAGAAAAAACTTCCGCGCCAGCTTCACTCATAATAAACAGTTCATCCGTTTCAAACGCATTACTCAAAGATCACTTCTAGGAGCAACTGAAACTTCTGCATTTCTTTTTTGTAAAATGCACTGACCGAAAATTGTCATGGGAAGACGGGTATCAAAAAGCAGGAGAGCCCCTTGATTATGCAGATGAGACATCCCTAACCTGGTGCCCCCCTCTCTAGATGCTTTGGGTAAGCAACTCGCATCATTCAGTGCAACCATGGTAGATTGAAGCAGCTGGAGCAGGCATAGGCAAACTTGGCCCTCCAGATGTTTTGGGACTACAATTCCCATCATCCCTGACCACTGGTCCTGTTAGCTAGGGAACATGGGAGTTGTAGGCCAAAAAACATCTGGAGGGCAGAGGTTGAGGAAGCCTGAGCTGGAGGCAACATCAGGTTGTAGGTCCTGATGCAGACCATCATTGAGGTCCTAACTGAACCACCATCAGCAAAAGAGTCCGTGTGCAATAAAGACCGCTCTGCTTATGCAGTTGCCCCCTTAACAGAATAGTCTTGATGCTTTTCAGGGTCTTAAAAGAGCGTTAATTTTGGGCATGCAGCCTGAAATTAAATGCTTGGCTTGGGCCAGGCAAATAGAATGAATTATGGACTTCCAGACACCTCAAAACTAGGCACCCTTATTCTAGCTTCATACGCATGACATCGCTTTGGTTTTCAAGAACTACCATTGGGTCAAAAGGACGTATGCCATCACTGAAAAGGGTGTTTCTCCAGAACAGTTCTCTGAGCTAAGCCATGTTCTTCTCTACAAACAAAGTTGCTAGCTAATCTTGACTGAGAAGGTCTAATTACCAGGGCATTAAAGCTTTAAGAGCATGACAAATAAAATTTGACAGTCTTAGTCCCTTTCAACAGAATGGGAAATCCAGAGTTATGCCTAATGCTCAGCCATAGTGATTGTCTCTGCACTCAAACTTCGTAAATCGCTTTGGAAATCTGTCACCACAATACTTCAGCTCTGTAACAAGAGTCCTGGAAAAAGCCAGCAGCGCACATTCCCACAGAGAATTCCAGCTAATACAAGACTTTGACACAGGATTAGGGGTGAATTCACTCTATTCTCTTCCTGGATGCCAGAAAGAGGGGGGCTGTCCTTTAGGCAAACACTAATACAAAATACTAGATAGGTCTGCTAGTTTTATTATTTTTACACTGCCAAATAATTTTCTGTACGCACCAGTAAATATAAATTATTTCTCTTTCTAAGAAAAGATGCAAAAGGATTCAATCAGTGGTAATACTGCTTCGCTCCTCTAACTCTCAGGCACAGTTCATTTTCTAAGCATCAAAAGAGCCAGGCAGCAACTGGGAAAGTAGAATAAAGGGGGCTTGAAAAATTCATGTGACTTTGCAGGGATGGGAAGTAGTGTCATCTTGTAAATTCCACCTGGAGCAGCCAAAAAGTACGAGGCCTTCTCTTCATTTCTTTTTATGGAGAAAATCCTTTGTAAAACAGTCAAACTCATCTTCAAGGCGGACAGCTTTTTTCCTACGAAAAAAAGAGGGAAAATATGTGTGGCAGCAGCACATTACTTTTCAGAAATCATTTCTGAGGATACTTACTCCGTTCCACTGAAAAAGTATTCACAGTAGCTTACTAAAGTTAACACATACCGCGCGCACTGCACAATGTAAAAACTTAAAATCAAAAACCGTACGCCCAAAGTCGTGCTTCCCATATGCATCTATTTGGCCACTGTGAGTATAGGGTGGAATCTAAAGGTAAAGGTAAAGGTACCCCTGCCCGTACGGGCCAGTCTTGCCAGACTCTAGGGTTGTGCGCCCATCTCACTCAAGAGGCCGGGGGCCAGCGCTGTCCGGAGACACTTCCGGGTCACGTGGCCAGCATGACAAGCTGCATCTGGTGAGCCAGCACAGCACACGGAAACGCCATTTACCTTCCCGCCAGTAAGCGGTCCCTATTTATCTACTTGCACCCGGGGGTGCTTTCAAACTGCTAGGTTGGCAGGTGCTGGGACCGAGCAGCGGGAGCGCACTCCACTGCGGGGATTCGAACCGCCGACCTTTCGATCGGCAAGCCCTAGGCGCTGAGGCTTTTACCCACAGCGCCACCCGCGTCCCATTAGGGTGGAATCTACACACACATAAAAAAACGCTGTGAAAGAGCTTTTAAAAAAAAACATTTTGAAAAATACATTGAATTTAGCATAGCTCGCTGTCACCATCTAGTGTCAAATCTGTATATTGCACTTCACATTTAAAATGTTTTATTTGCAGCTGTGTAGATGAGTCCATGGGTGCTGGACTAGATGGGCCATTGGCCTGATCCAAATAGAATAGTATCATAGAGTTGGAAGGGACCCTAAGGATCTAGTCCAACCCTCTGCAATGCAAGAATATGGGAATCAAATGTGCAACCCTTCACCGCACAACCAGGGTGGTATTCAACTAAGCTTTACTCACGAGTTTTTCAAAAAGTAAAAAAGACCCTCCTGGTACACCCCCCCCAAAAAATGCTCAACAACTATGTGCAATGACAATGGGTAGATCAGGGATCAGCAAACCTTTTCAGCAGGGGGCCGGTCTACTGTCCCTCAGACCTTGTGGGGGGCCGGACTATTTTTTTTTGGGGGGGGAAATGAACGAATTCCTATGCTCCACAAATAACCCACAGGTGCATTTTAAATAAAAGGACACATTCTACTATGCCAGTGTGGTGTAGTGGTTAAGAGCGGTAGACTCGTAATCTGGTGAACCGGGTTCGCGTCTCCGCTCCTCCACATGCAGCTGCTGGGTGACCTTGGGCCAGTCACACTTCTCTGAAGTCTCTCAGCCCCACTCACCTCACAGAGTGTTTGTTGTGGGGGAGGAAGGGAAAGGAGAATGTTAGCCGCTTTGAGACTCCTTCGGGTAGTGATAAAGCGGGATATCAAATCCAAACTCCTTCTTTTCTTCTACTCATATAAAAACACGCCGATTCCGGGACTGTCCGTGGGCCATATTTAGAAGGCGATTGGGCCGGATCCGGACCCCAGGCCTTAGTTTGCCTACCCATGGGGTAGATCATTCCCAGTTTTATAATATTGGGAGTAGATCGCAGTCTCTACAGAGTTGTATGTGCCTGCTCTAGACCTATCGCCAATATTGCTTCAAGGCACAGCCATGAGATTATGACGCCCCTCAAGGCCAAAGTGAAGCAGTCATTTCATTTCATGGCTGCTCAATTCAATAGCTGGGCCCAGTCACTGCAGAAACAGCCCCCCCTGCGGCTATTTACCGTAGATGCTTTGAGTGGTTCTGGATTTTCTCCAGCTGAGCAATCTCTTTGGACAACCTTGCAATCTCTTCTTCCAGGTTCCTCTCCGTGATGTCAACTTGCTGGCACAGGCGAGCAAAAGTCATGGCCATTTCCCTGAAAGAGAAATCCGGAAAGCCCAGGTCCGCCGATTTGTTCAACCCTGGAGGCTCCGAGGGGGAAACGGCAATGAGATGTCCCCATCCCCGCCCCAACTTCCTGCCATATGCATGGATGACCAAGCGCTCAAGGGGGAGACCTCTACCTCTTCTTTTTGACATATGTTATACAGAAGAACAGGGAAACCCTGAAATGTGGCTCTCATTTTGGTCCTGCCAACGTGTCACTTTCAACCAGTAGTTCCCAAAGTGAGAAGTACTGCCCCCTGGGGTTCTGGAGGTGGAATTACCTAGAGGGATGCTGAGGGGCAAAGGTGGGCAGGGGGTTCTGGAGGTGTAAATTACTATCAGATTTTGAAAAGCTGGTACCACTGGATCAATTTAATCACATGCTGAAAGGTCTCTTTACCAAGGGATTACTGTGGAGAGGATGAGAAATGAGTTGGGATGAGCCACAGTAGCTTCATCCTGGAACTTTCAGGATAGGGCAGGTGGGAATTAATAATAATAATAATAATTATTAATAATTATAATTATACCCCGCCCATCTGGCTGGGTTTCCCCAGCCACTCTGGGCGGCTTCCAACAAAATATTAAAAATACAATAAAACATCAGATGTTAAAAACTTCCCTAAACAAAGCTGAGTCACAGGCTCTTTCAGGGACCTAACAACAGTTTCTCTATAAAAACCACTCCGTCCTTTGCATTGCAACACCCGGCCACCCCTTCCAGTTGCCTTGCAGAGATCCCCTTTGAGGAAACTGCTGAGACGGCCCTACAACTTCGCTCCTCTGGATGAGAAGCCCAAGTTACGGAAACAGACAAGACGTACTGTTGCACCTGATGGCTGCAGTTTGCGCTGGTGAAGCTGACGATCATCTGAAGCTTCTCTGTGGCGTAGTTGACAAACTGCTGCTTGAAGGCTCGCTCTTTGGCTTTGGTCGTCCAAGTGAGCCTCTCGTAGAGATACAGAAGCCCATATAAACTCAGGGAGAGGGAGATGACCTTCCAGCCAACCGTTCTCCAAACCTGGAAGAGGAACACCAGGGTCAGAATTTGAGCAGGATCTATCTATCCTGGATAGGTTTGATCTTCTTGCAGTCCATGGGACTCTCAAGAGTATCCTCCAGCACCATAATTCAAAAGCATCAATTCTTTGGCGATCAGCCTTCTTTATGGTCCAGCTCTCACTTCCAAACATCACTACTGGGAAAACCATGGCTTTAACTATACGGACCTTTGTTGGCAAGGTGAAACCATAGTTTGCTTTAAACCAGGGTTTCCCAAACTTGGGTTTCCCAAGCTGTTTTTAGACTGCAATTCCCCATCATCCCTACTCACTGGTCCTGCTAGCTAGGGATGATGGGAGCTGTGGCTCAAAAACAGCTGGAGAGATAGGTTTGGCTTTAAATAGTTCAGTGCAGCATGTGAGCTGGGCCACTGTGCGGTGCTGCACACCTTAGCACTGCTCCCCTGCTTAACAGCCCCCCACGGCACAAAGGGTGCCTTAGACAGAGCACTGCATATACATAATATGGGGAAGTAAGTGGGCAGGCAATTAATCCATCGCCACATGCTGCCCATCCCTAGGTCTGATGCTTTCCTGGGATTTCTCACTACGGCAGAGTTGCGCAGGGTACTCACAAGTCCTCCGACAATGATGACGGTCATGGAGGTCCGGGAGGTCAGCGACGCCAAGTTGGTGACCAACGAGACCATGAGCTCCTCCTGTGATGCATTCTCTGGGGTCAGAGCAGGAGCAGCGGGCGCACAAGGGGTGGAGGCAAGAGAACGAGGGATCTAGGGGCGAAGAACAGAAACTGAGATCCATCTTCCCAGGAGACCAGAACGGGGAGAGCTCGGCTTTAAATAAACAGCTCACGATTAGTGTGTTTGTGAGCTACGGTGGGTTGGATGAAACTATTTAATGGTGGAGCATCAGCCTTAAAAAGGGGTTTCAAATAGCTTCAGCAAAGGGCTGTGCTAAAGTGCAAGCATATTCTGCAGCTAGGCAGTCCAAATTCTGCACCAAGAAAGCAGAATTCTGCAACCTACCCACGTTATTTTGTACACTTTGCTCTGCTGCTTACATAACTGGACACAGCCGATCCCGATGGCACTGGGCAAGTACCAATGTATCTCAAAAGCCAGTTTTAACTTATGATAAAGAAATCTTGCACTATTGCCAGAAGAAGTGCAAGCTGAGGCCTCAGAAATCCTGCAGGTTATGGGGCAGAACTAGGGGCTCTGCAGTGTACTGAAGCCCCAGTTTACCTGGCAACCCGCTCAATGCAGGGGTTGCAGCAAGTGCTTCCCACCCAATTTCAAGCACACCTTTGCTGTCATGAGGACTACAAGCTTGCTTTGCAAACTGAAATGCAATAGAGAGACTCGGAAAAAAGTTGGCTTCCGTGTCGAGTACCACGTTCCCTGTTTTTTCTGCCCTCTTGACTTGCACGGGTCATAACTTTGCACACAGGGGCTGGGCTAGGGGAGGAGGCCAAAACCTGCCCTGGAATATAAGAACAGAGGAAGCTGGCTCATTCCAAGTCAGAACATTGATCCATCGAGATCAGCATTTTCTCCACTGAAACAGCAACAGCTCTCCAGGGTTTCAGACCAGGTGACAATCCCAACCTTGCCTGAAAAATGCCAGGGATTGACTGTGGGACCTTCTGCATTCAGAGCATATGATCTATCACTGAGCTCCCCAAAGGTCTGGCAGGAATCACCTGCCAAATGGTATAACTCCACTCTAAAGGTCTGGAAGGGAGTTGCACACTGGCACTTAGGAGCAGGAAAAGGTCCCACTGTTGCTGTTTGATGCCGTTTTGAACACACACAGGCAGGCAGCTGCCCCGCTAATTAAGAGAAAGAACAGAAGCCATAGGTTTCCATTGACACACTGGAGATGCTACTTGCACCCGGTGGATCAGGATCCTTCTGCACAAGCTGAACCCTGCGAAGCACTCACTGCAAGAACTGGCTCCGCCACACCGAGCAGCACCCGGTGAGCGTTTTTGGGGCCCAGGTACCGGCTGACGAGGGCCGTCCAGCCCAGCGAGAACCGGAAAGTGATGTCCTCTTGGAAGTCGGAGCACAGGCTGTTGCAATTCAGGTCGTAGCTGAGGTCAAACTTCCTGCACGGAATCAGCAAGTGGAGCTTGCTCTGGACGTCGGAAGGCAGCAGGGCCTGCAGGCTTTCTGGGAAAGAAAGGAGAGGGGTGAAAGCAGAGCTCAAAGCAGACTCCTCCCACCTGGTGCCCTCCAGTTGCTTTTGACTACAACTCCTATCTATCTGTCCCATTTATATGCCACCTTTTATCTTCCAAGGATCTCAAGGTGGCGTACGTGGTTCTCCTCCCCCCATTTCATCCTCAAAACAATCCTGTGAGGTGGGTTAAGGCTGAGAGATGGTGACTGGTCCAAACTTCATGGCTGACTGAGGATTCGAACACTGCTCACCCAGGTCAGAGTCCAGTACAGTGGTACCTCTGGATGCGAACGGGATCCATTCCGGAGCCCCGTTCGCATCCTGAAGTGAACGCAACCTGCGTCTGTGCGGGTCGCAATTCGCTGCGTCTGCGCATGCGTGTGACGTCATTTTGAGGGTCTGCGCATGCGCGAGCGGCAAAACCCGGAAGTAACACGCTCCGTTACTTCCAGGTTGCCATGGATCGCAACCCGAAAACGCTCAACCCGAAGCTACTTTAACCTGGGGTATAACTATACTCTAACCATTACACCGCACTCTCTCATGAGCCCCCATCAGCGAATAGTGGACACCCAAGTGACAAAGATAAATAGCTGCTTATCAGAAAGGGGACTGGCAAAAGGAAGGAAGGAAGGAAAAAAGGAAGGAAGGATAAACTAATGAGGCAACCCAGCTGGTGCACAAACTTTGGATATGAAAGACTGTAGTTCGTAAATCTCTGTTCAAATAGATATACAAGAGTTTCTTGGGGGAGGGAGGCGAAAAAGCAGAATTTACGCGTTCCTCTGCATAAATCTTACCTATCATTTCCTGCTGCGACTGACACATAGACTTGTTGACTTCACTGGAGCAACGGTCAGCCAGGTTCCTTCCCAAGCCCTCTTCCAGGTGCTTGTTGAGCTCCTGACATGTCAAAGAGAAAGGAAAGAGTCAGCAGGTGACCTGGCCAAGCTGTAGGGTCTGAAAAGCCGCAATGAGGCAGCAGAGGGCAAGCAAATGACGTGCTGAGCCACCATGTTTGCAAACGCCTCTCAAAACATGAATAGCTGTACAACACAGTTAACTTTTAGTATCGTAGCTGCCTGTGAAGAAACTGCTCACCTCCTGAGCTTCTTCATCTGCATGGGCAGGAGAGAGAAATCAGAAAGCTGCGGGAGGCACCTGCCACCTGGGAGACAGCCTCCCAAAGGCCCCACCTGCCTTCCAGGACATGTCAGTCAAAGGCTCCCCCAGTACAGACTTAGGAGCAACCAGCACACCAATCAGAGGCCTCTGCCCTCTCCCCTCTTTGCATACTTGAGACTTCGAGTCTCTACATGGCACACTGGGCAATGGTTGGAATGTTAACACTCTTCACAATTTAATGGGCAACTGGCTAGCAGCTTGTCATTAAATTATCTACAGTTTCCCTAACAATGCTTTTAAAACACACACACACACACACACACACACACACACACACACACACACAGCACTATTAAAAATATGCCACTGTGTTACATTGCAAGTGCTATCCTGATGTAATGAGTTGCATCCCCATATTTTAAGAACGTTTGGACTGGCTGCAAAACATACAGACTCGATTTTTTTGCAGGTAACAAACACTATTGCCCTCTAACTGATTTCACTAGCACCATGCAAGTTAAGGCAATTGAATTTCAAACACACTCTCTCTCTCCGAATTTCAACACTTTCCAAGGAGTACACACATACACAGAGATGTAGGGGGAATGGAAGGAATATTTTAATTTTATCCCACCCCCCCAAAAAAAATCATTCATTCATTAAAAACAAACTTTCTAATTACAGTTGGCATGACTTTCTCTTCAGTCGCAGAGTTTCTCAAACACATTAGCTTCACCAAGATCCTGAGGGGTGGTGGCAACATTTTGCCAAATAAGTTTTTTTTAAAAAGGTGTGTGATCTTTTGATCCTTGAGAGGGGTCAGGAGCAGTGCTATTTTTCTAGAAAAAAAGGTGCCAGAGCTCACCATGAATGCCATTCTTGAATAATGGCAATGTCATTCATTTGAGAAGTGCCGAAACTGAATTCCTGCTAGAAAAATGCCCTGGGAAGGAAAGTCCTTATAATTCATCCCTCCCTCTGCCATTTTTGATCAGATGTGAACACTTCACATTAAACTCAGACAAACTGATGTATTTGAGACATTCTACATGTTAGTCATGTAAGCACAAAAAGACCCATCGCAGAACCCCAACAAAGCAAAACTGGACGAAACCTAAACCATTTCCACCTAGGGCAGAACTTACACTCTTATATAGTTTCAAAACTTGTGGGGATGGGTGGAAATCGGAGGAAAACTCATCTACCAAAACAGAAAGCCGACAAATTTCATCAGTCATGGCTGAAGATACCTGGAAAAGACGGGACGCACAAAGGACAAGAACAGCATGAGGAGCCTTTTTACGAAATGCAAGCGGGGTGGTTATTCTAAATTCTTTGCAAATTGATGCTCAGGGCAGCTTTAACTTCCAGTACAACCTTGGGATTAAAACTAACGCTGCAAGCATTCAAAGCCCATTACATGCCCTTATTACATGTCCAGAGGAGGGCAACCAAAATGGTCAAAGGCCCTGGAAACGATGCCTTATGAGGAACGGCTAAGGGAGCTGGGCATGTTTAGCCTGGAGAAGAGGAGGTTAAGGGGTGAAATGATAGCCATGTTTAAATATATAAAAGGATGTCATATAGAGGAGGGAGAAAGGTTGTTTTCTGCTGCTCCAGAGAAGCGGACACGGAGCAATGGATCCAAACTACAAGAAAGAAGATTCCACCTAAACATTAGGAAGAACTTCCTGACAGTAAGAGCTGTTCGACAGTGGAATTTCCTCCCACGAGTGTGGTGGAGTCTCCTTCTTTGGAGGTCTTTAAGCAGAGGCTTGACAACCATATGTCAGGAGTGCTCTGATGGTGTTTCCTGCTTGGCAGGGGGTTGGACTCGATGGCCCTTGTGGTCTCTTCCAACTCTATGATTCTATGATTATCTCAATGACCCTGAAGATATGAAGCTTCCTTATTCCATGTCAGGCCACTGATCCATCAACTTGCCCAGGAGCAAGTGGACTTCAGGCTATTTATCATGTTCTCCCCCAAGTTGCTGCTCTCTCGCTTCACAATCAGGATCCGTTCCCAGCCGCGCTGTGCCAGACTGAACGGAGTATGTCAGAAAGGGATCCTAGGCGCTTCCGCATGCAAACCAACCCCCTTAGCTATGGCCTCCCACCTACCTTACAACCCTGCACGGCAGGCCAGTAATAGTTTCCTTATCACAGATGGAAGGAGAGACTCAGCCAGAGAGATTGGGAAAGGCCTGGCTAAGCTCACTCAGTGAATTCCACCTCCCAGCTGATGTTCTTAACAACCCCTTTCAATATTTTTGAAGTTGCTGGGCCTTTACTGTCTTCACTAGCCATTGTTCCAGCACCAGAAGCCCGTAAAAGCCCCCCAAAGGTCTGTGAACAGCCATGATCGGCATGCTCCGGGCTGGTTACCGCAACGTACCTTATTGGCTACCTCCTCCGTGACTCCTTTGATCTTCTTCTTGATGTCATCTGTCAAAAGGTTGAGCTGGTTGCGGACAAATTCCAGCCTGTCCTTCTGATCTTCTCGCTCTTCCATTGAATGGACTCTAAGGTAAGTAGCGGAAATGCAACCATCAACCCCGACTGTACGCACAGTGTCCCGGCGGGGGAGAAAAACCAAGCACCAAAGTGCTGCTGCCTCTCCTTGTCTTGGTAGGCTTGACGCAAAACTACACCCAAGGACACGGGCGAGAATGGCAGCTCGCCAGTTAAAGAAAGGCCCCAACCCCTTGGGAGAAGGGCCTTCCCAGTGGTGGCTCCCAAACTATGGAACTCGCTCCCTAGCCACATTGGCCTGGTGCCCTCAATGTTTAGACACCCGGCAAAGTCTGTCTTGCTCTCACATGCAAGAGAACTTCTGACCTCTATTGGAGCCTTAGCCAATTGTCTTTTACCTACCACTGGGTTTCAACACCTTATGCTTAACATTTTTACCCTCTGATTTTCATCTGTTGTTTTTACCGTTTGTCGTTACACTTTATTATACACTCACACTGTGTGACCATATGCTGCCTAGGGATTATTTTGCAATATTCTTACAATAATTCTGTTAAGGCAAGCCAGTATTATCATTCTACTGCAGATGGACTGGGGGTGCGGGGAGGAAAGGGAGCCAGTGAGTGAGACTCACTAAGGCAATCTAGCAGAGGAGCGATTTTTAATCAGATAAGTCTCCAGTTTTTTAATTCGATTTTTAATCAGATAAGTCTCCAGTTCACAGCGATTACATTACTCTAGTTCCCAAGGTATATGGAGATATATCGAATTTTTCCGTGTATAAGATGACCCCCAATTTTTGACTAATTTTTTAAAAGCAAAAATCATCGTCTTATACACAGAAAAATACGGTATGTCCCTCTTTAATGCAGAGCAGATCTATTTTTTCATCTATTTTTCCAAGTGCTAGTGCTTGGATTTTTGGCAGGCAGGCAACAAATAGCCCTGCTTTAGAGGCAATTTGGGCACTTGTCATTTTCCCCAAACATGGACTTGGGATTCCAGAATTTCAGCAAGGGCAAAAACCAGTGTCACTGGGGGGAAAGCCCAAAACCTTCATTCATTCATTTGATTTATTACTCGCCAATATTAGATTTATTAGGGTCAGTCCTAAATCAAGGGTACAAAGATGTATCTTTGACATATGATGAAAGCTATACAATCAAGGTGCCAGCTTAGGGTCTGCCACAGAGAATGCCCTCTCCTGCCCAAATTTTTCAGGGCAGAGGAACTACTAAGACAGCTTGGGTGGGGGGTGGGCTTTGCCGATCTTAACACCCAAGAGAGTCTGTAGGGAAGGAGGCCATCTTTCAGATATTTGGGGCCTAAGTCCTTAACGGCAGGGAGCCTTTTCCAGCCTGAGGGCTGCATTCTCTTCTGGACAACCTTCTGGGAGCTGCATGCCAGGGGTCACAGAATTATAGACTTGAAGGCTTGGAAGGGACCCCGGCGACCATCTAGTCCAACCTCCTGCAAAGCAGGGATCTCAACTAAAGAAACTATGACAGAAGGGTAGGTTTTACCCTTATGCAGAAGACTAGTTTCAACACCCACACTTCTCCAGGAGAGCAAGAGGCATTATCAGGGTTCAAAGACAGGTTTTTTAAAACAACAACATTCAAGGTGGGGATGAACTGGGACCAGTAGGGTGTGTGGTTTAGGAGAGTCCAGAGGACCAGATAAGGTAGCTCCCAAGCCTGAGGTTTAGGGCTTTAAACACTAATGTGAGCACTTTGAATTGGGCCCCCAAAACCAACTGGCAACCAAAGCAACTGCTTTAAAACAGGGACTACATGATATCTAAATGGGACACTGGCCAATAGTCTGGGCTTCTGTATTTTGGATGCAGCAGCACTGAGACCTGAGTTGTCTTCAAGGGCAGCCCCATGCAGAAAGTGTTGCAGTAGTCCAATCTGAAAGTATACAGCATGGTGGCCAGACCATCTTTCATGCATTTGAAGGGACAACCCAACGAATGTGGAGGCCAAGTGACCAGAGAAATCCTGTACTCACCTCTTGCCAGCAGTGGCCTAAGGGCTGCACTATCTCCTGATAAGGGGAAGAAAGGTCAGCGCCACCCGGTGGCTCTTTCCCTGCTTAGCTGAGCAAGGTGAATATGATAGGAGAGGCTTACCTTTGATTGGCTGCTGCCACGTTTATGGAGTCCATAATGTTTTTCACTGTGTCTAGGATCTGTTTAGCTCTGATAGTGTGCTGCTCAAACTTGGTTTTCACAGCTGACTGCGAGATACACTCCTGCGAGGGGCCCAAGCCACAACACATTACTGCAATTCCATCGCCAACACACGCTGGAATTTCACAAAGGCATTGTGCTGCTATGTATTAAAACTTAAATCCTAAAGCAAATTATATCTTTTAAAAAAACACACATTTAAAGTAAAAAACATACAACAGAAGCAAAAAGGAACAAAGGAAGACTGAAAACAAAATCACAAGTCAATAGCAGGAAGTTAGTGCTGTCATTGATGGTGCAGCTGCAGCAGAAATCGGGACCCTAGTGCCCTCCAGATGTTCTTGGGACTCCCACCATCTCCAGCAAACATGGGCCATGGGGGATGAGGGATGCAAGTCAAACAATCTCTGGAGAGCCAAGGTATCCCCACCCTGAGCCACAGTAATGTGCAATGGTCAAATGAAAAGCAAAAGAGGAGCAACGATGAATGTCAAGCCATTTGGCATTGGCCATTCGTTCAGAAGGAAGGAGCTGCTGTTGTTGCTACTTCTTGCTAAGAGTCACTGTGAACACGACAGGTTATAGGTGTATCGCTAAAAACTGAACATGTGAATGTAGTGAACACACCTATTCTACAGGTACGCCGGTTACTGAGCTGTGATCAGCTGCAGCTCCATTTTGAATGTAGGCTCCACGGCGAATGCAGGCTTGCCTCTGGCTAATATGGGGCATGGCCCTAGTGCTCTTCAAGAATCTAGTGGCTTTGGATGCCAACTGATATAGAGCTGCCTTATCACTCCCCAGATTTGTCCGTCAAGCCCAGAATTGTCTGCTTTGCCTGGTAACAGAGTTCTTGAGCCTTGGAAGAGGTCTCTTGCATCGGCTAGGGTTCTCTCGATTGGGACTTTCTGCGCTCTATCACTCCCCAAATATGCACAAATATGAGGCATGCTAATGAGTCAGGCTTTCTGCATTCACACATAGCCCACAATCCTGAAGGAGGGCCTTGCACATCTCTGAGATACCCACAGTGGTAATACAGGCATCTCTGAAGGCAGGCTGATGCAGCTGTCGCACAGAACCTAAGCTGATCCAAGTCTGGTGACCAGATGAAGGCAGAAATCCTATGTATGTGCCAAATGCCATATAAATGTAAGAAACAAACAGAATTCTTTTGTAGCTCAAGTCATTCGTGTGAAGAATCCGTTGTTCAGTTCACCTATCGTGATAAACCATCGTTTGCCACAAACAGGCTTGAATGGGCTGTTTTGATCATTGTTGCATGCAGTGGAAGGAAATAAACCATGTTCACAAGAGAAAAGCCAGTGACTGGTCTGAATGCTCCCAGTGTGAGCAGCAAGGCAAGCCATGGTTTATGGCTTATTGCAACCCACAGTTTATGGCTCACAAGACATGTGAATGCAGCCTGTGCAATTACAAACATGTGGCAAACAATGGGACTTGCCCTCTGGGAACAGTGGAAAATTAATTTTTTTTTGTATCTAGGTTTACAGGTGACAGAACAATATTTTTTTAAAAATGGAAGGAGAAAGGAAAAAGCGAAAAGAATATATAAGGAGAGTTCCTTGATCCTCGATGAAGCAGATCTAGAAATCAGCAATGAAAATGCAAGAGGCTGGCATGTAACAGCACATTGTTAGAGCTAGACAAGACGTGTAGGAGAGTCAGATTCCAGACAGGCAAATAGGAAGAAGGCGAAAGGGTTATTATCCCATCCTGTGCACTACGCAACCAGAAAATCCACAGCAGAAAACTATAAGAAGTACATAAGTTAGAAATACCTCAGCAAAAACAACAACAAACAACATCAGAAATGATAAAGGAGTACACAATTCAAACAAGTTCACACATCAACATTATTGGAGCAAACTGAATTACCATCTTGAAACCTGGTCTCCTCCCAACAATAACTCAGTGGTAGAGTACATGCTTTGCAATAACAACAACAATAACAACAACAATAACAATAATTGCTTTCGACAACAGAAGATGAGTTTTAAAACAATACCAAAATAGACAAATTTTGCATGCAAAACATCCTGGGTTCAATTTCAGGCATCTGAAATTAAAAGGATCTGGGGCAGGAGAGAGACTGGGGAAAACCCTACATGAGACTATGGATCAGTGTAGCTGGGGCAACCCAGATGGATGTTTGTGTGTGGTACAAATAAAATATAATTATTATTATGGACACCAACCAAGTCAGATGTCAGGCAATGAGAACCTAGGACATTCCACATGTAATGCATGCGCTCAGCTACTGAGCTGATGGCTGCGGGGAGGGGGCTTGGCTCAATCCAGTCATTTTATAAATAACTGCCTTGCAGTTCAAGCACAACGGCAAGATTGTTGGAAAGGCATTCCTCAGCCTGGTGCCCTTCTGGGCTATGAGGTGCACCAGCAAGGCCAGTGATCAGGGATGAGGGGAGCTGCACTCCAAGAATGCTTAGAGGTAAGCATTAGGTTGGGGAAGACGGCATTATATAATGCTGGGGTGGTTGCAAGTGAAATTCCTTGCCGCGAATATTGTTTTGCCGAACTCAGGACACTTGTTAGTGAAGTTCTGCACATGTTGATTCCATCACTGAAACTGCCATCCTAATCAGGAGAACGTAATTTAAATGTGTGTCTCCCTTTTCTCTCCTCCCACCCCGTTTTGTGACAGTTGCAAAGCTTCTTGCCTGACCCGATTTGTCCTGCCAACAAGTGCTGCCTTCTAAGAGATGCAGTAAAAGGTAAAGGTAAAGGGACCCCTGACCATTAAGTCCAGTCGCGGACGACTCTGGTGGGCTCATCTCGCTTTATTGGCTGAGGGAGCCGGTGTACAGCTTCCGGGTCATGTGGCCAGCAGGACTAAGCCGCTTCTGGCGAAACCAGAGCAGTGCACAGAAACACCGTTTACTTTCCCGCCGGAGCGGTACCTATTTATCTACTTGCACTTTGACGTGCTTTTGAATTGCATTCTAATAAAGGCAATCAAATGTACTCAGGTGATGAGAGGCTTAACATCAAATCATTTTGTTACAGCAGCTGTTATATAGCAACTACACATACTCCTTGCCAAAATTTCACATTCTGAATGCCTTTAACAAAGAAAAGTCGATCAATACATTGGGGGTGGGGGGGGGAGAACAGATGTGTGTTACTTATTGACTTACATAAAGAGAATATGAAAAGAATTTGAGTTATTCTAACTCAGTATAGTGTACGCCGATTGGCAGCAAACCAGATGACATTCCCAGCCCTACCTTGGGAATGAACCTAGGACCTTCTGCAGTCAAAGCAGATGCTCAACAGCCCAACTATGGCCCTTCCCCAAACATTTGACAGGAATTACCTGTCAATGAGTGGGACGCGGGTGGCACTGTGTGTTAAACGACAGAGCCTAGGGCTTGCCGATCAGAAGGTTGGTGGTTTGAATCCCCACGACGGAGTGAGCTCCCGTTGCTCGGTCCCTGCTCCTGCCAACCTAGCAGTTGGAAAGCACGTCAAAGTGCAAGTAGATAAATAGGTACCGCTCCGGCGGGAAGGTAAACGGTGTTTCCATGTGCTGCTCTGGTTCGCCAGAAGCGGCTTAGTCATGCTGGCCACATGACCCGGAAGCTATACGCCGGCTCCCTCGGCCAATAAAGCAAGATGAGCGCCGCAACCCCAGAGTCGGTCATGACTGGACCTAATGGTCAGGGGTCCCTTTACCTTACCTGTCAAAGAGTATGCTTCCAATCTAAAGGCCTAGAAGGGAGCTGGACATTTGTGCATTGGCACTCATGAGGAGGAGGAGGAGATAAGGAAGGTGAGGATGATCCCCCTTTCTGCTTCCCTCTTTGAGGTGAGAATGGGAGTTGTAGTCCAAAATATCTGGAGGGCATCAGGTTTGTGAAGGCTGCCTTTGGTGGATGCCACCAAAAAGCGCGCCCTGTTGCATGTGGCATGAGTAACATTGCCAAATGGCTGGTTGCATATGAATCACAGAACTGTAGAGTTGGAAGGGGCCACAAGAGTCACAATCTTTCATCGAACATGCGGCTCAAACCAACGACCCTGAGATTAAGTGTCTCACGCTCTACCAATTGAGCTATCCAGATAAAAGCTGCAACATTTCAAACTAGCCTTCCTAGAAAAATGCTGCTGCTGTGTAAGTATAAACAGTGGTACCTTGGTTTATGAACTTAATCCGTTCCGGAAGTCCATTCTTAAACCAAAGCGTTCTTAAACCGAGGCGTGCTTTCCCAAAGCAACGGGGGACTCAATTTACAAATGGAACACACTCAACAGCAAGCGGAACATGTTCTTATTCCAAGGCAAAGTTCACAAACCAAAAGACCTACTTCCGGGTTTGCAGCGTTCTTAATCCAAGTTGTTCAGAAACTAAGCTGTTCTTAAACCAAGGTACCACTGTACAGTATATTAAAAAACCAAGCACAACTGTTTTAGACTCTCAGGAAGTTTACCTCAAACATTTTCTCAAATTGCTGAAACTCTTGGAAGCGCGTCTGAAATCCGTCGGCCAGTGCCCCACCTAGAAAAGCACAAAGCAGCCGATGAGGTTTGATGTGAGAGGTTTATAAACAGGGATGGCCTCCTACCAGCAACACTGTAGCAGCTGATTTCCTGAATTGGCTTGGGAGTTGGACTAGGTTACTTGGAAGTCCCTGATTCAATTATTCAAGTTTTCCAAGACCGCACAGCAAAAGCCCCGTTTTTAATAAGGCTTCTTTGAAAAGCTGTGCTTTCAAAGGAACATTACATTGCAGGATCCCACATTCAATACACACCTCCCTCAGGCATGCCCTGGGCTCTCTGTTTCCTGGCGCTGAGGACTTCCTTGGCCGAAACGAAGAAGATTCGGTTCTGGGCTTCGGAGGGATCCACAACCTTGAGCTCATCTACCAAGAACGTCAGGCACCGCTCCATGTGCTGCTTGCGCACCTAAAGAAAGAGAGCAGCAGCACATCAGGGCAGTCTTCAATCAGCTGAGTGTTATACAAACAGCCTCTCTGGGTGGGACCGCATCTGCATTGTCTCATTGACTACCAAGCCAGGTACAAGGTTCTTTGTATTAACTTACAAAGCCCTGAACAACAAAGATTTAGGATACTTCATGGATGCCTGAACCTTTATATCCCAGTTCATTTGCTGAGATCATCTGTAGGAGCATCGCTGATCATTCCCAGGGTTGGCAAGGCTCATTTGACAGCAAGAAATAAGAGCCTTTAGCGTCATCGGTCCAGTCCTGTAGAATTGTTTTATTGATGTTTTAATATTCTGTAAACCACTTTGAGATTTTTCTTTAAAATATAAAGCAGCATATACCATATTTTTCGCTCTATTAGACGCACCAGACCATAAGACGCACCTAGTTTTTGGAAGAGGAAAACAAGAAAAAAAAAATATTCTGAATCCCAGAAGCCAGGACAGCCAGGGGCAGCCTCTCCCGGCTGGGGAGGCTGCGCACGGTTAAGCAAGAAGCCAGGACAGCCAGCGGGATTGCAGCGCAGCGATCCCGCTGGCTGTCCTGGCTTCTTGCTTGGTCGCGCAAAGCCTCTCCTGGGCAAGGGGAGCCTTCATCCCTCACCCGGGAGAGCCGGGCTCCCCCAAGAGCCGCACTCCCTTTAAAGAGCGTGCGGAGTGCGGGTGCGGCTCTTGGCAGCTTTTTCCTGAGGAAAAAGGAGCATTGAACGGAGCCTCCTGCCTGTATTCGCTCCATAAGACACACACACATTTCCTCTTACTTTTTAGGAGGGGGAAGTGCATCTTATAGAGCAAAAAATACGGTAAATGAAATAATAATTCTCTGCCAACAGAGAATCAGCCGTCGCCTTCTGTTCCAACTTCTAACCACCTGCTGAAAACCTTCCTGTACTGCCTTTTCTGCAGTGGTTCCCTGTCTGTGGAATGCTCTCTCCAGTGAGGCTTGCCTGGCATCTTCATTATACATCTTTAGGCGCCAGGCAAAAATGTCCCTCTTCAACCAGGTCTTTGGCTAACATTCTATATGCTTTTAAATGTGTTTTCACAGTCCTCCCGCCCCCAATCTGTCCATTCAGGCAAGCAAGAGGCTACACCAGCATATGAACTAAACACAAAAACCAACAACAGAAAAGGTAGAGCTTTTATTTATTTCCTACAACCGTGTCACAAAAATGGCCTTAATCTGTTCCCAGAGACAAAAGTACTAATCAGGGAAAGGATTACTGTCTTTTGAAGTTAACAGTGCAAAACATCCACACACACCCTCAGTGCAAAATGATTCTGCACCTCAAATGTCACTTTTAGTTGGAGGGCGTAAAAACTCTTGGAAATTCTTGTTGGTTCCCCCTACAGTTCTCTCTTTTTCGTTAAGAAATTTTAAACTACGCACTACAGAGGTCTTGGATGATACTTTGCTTTATTTTTGGTGTGATCTAAGCCACCCTGTTGGTTGCATATCCTGGGATGATGATCCCTGAACTCATTTCAACCTCTTGACAGCTTAAATACACAGTTTTTCTTAAATACCAACCTAACACACCCACAGAGCCCCTTCAAAACAATTCAAGAACTTACATGCTCCATGTATTCCGGCTCTGATGCAGAAGCGTCCCATCGATTATTCAGGATGAAGATGTTTGGTTTAGAAAGTTTTTCATTTACTTTGTGGAAAAAATGCTTTTCCTATTAAAAAAAAGGTTGGGGGGAGAGGAAAATTTAAGCCTTTAAACTCTGAAACATGGAGCGTGAACACATGTTAATTGTGAGGTCTTCATGCAGCACATTAAAAGCAAACGTAAAAAATAAATAAATCTGCAAAATTTCTATGGTGAGTTAAAGTGATTCACGGCCAGGGATGATGGGAGCTGTAGTCCAGCAACATTTGGAGATTCCCCACACCTGCTTGCAGGCCTTCCCAACATGGCATCCTCCAGATGTTTTGAACTTCACCTGCCATCAGCCCCAGACAACTTTAAGACAAGTGACTATTGTTGGCCCCATGTTACTGGTGGGGGGCTAAGGCTGAGAGAGAGCAGCTTGATGAAGACGAGTTCACAAGAGAGGCGAGAACTAAACTCATAATTTTTTTTCATTCGCAACTCTGTTGTATAGTCATACCACATCAGCTCTCAGTTCAGATAAAATACTGATTTTTATGTTTATTAGATACTTACCTTTATGAAATATTTATTTATTCATTTATCAGTGTGGTGTAGTGGCTAGGAGCGGTAGTCTTGCAATCTGGGGAACCGGGTTCGTGTCTCCGCTCCCCCACATGCAGCTGCTGGGTGACCTTGGGCTAGTCACACTTCTTTGAAGTCTCTCAGCCCCACTCACCTCACAGTGTTTGTTGTGGGGGAGGAAGGGAAAGGAGAATGTTAGCCGCTTTGAGACTCCTTAAAGGGAGTGAAAGGCGGGATATCAAATCCAAACTCTTCTTCTTCTTCTTCATCTTCATCAACTGCCCCAAAAAATAACACCTGGGCCAAAACCTGGGTTTCAGTCTAGACCCCTCGTTTCGATTTTGGTTCTGCCACATGGCAATTTCCTTCAAATCCCAACTTTCTACATGTGATTCCCAGGCAGTCTCCCATCCAGGTACTGATCAGATTCACACAGGTTTATAGTGCTGGTAAATTTGCAATATTACAGACAGTGCCCTGGGATGCCCATACAGTGTGGACCACATAGCAAAGGGCACTTAAAGTCCCATTTGGAGCTTTAAGTCGCTTTCTTAGGAGGTATTGGTAACTGTCCACTATTAACCTGATGCAGGGGAGCTGGGAAACCTATGGCCCTCCACATGTTGCAGGACTACAACACCCATAAGTCCCAGTTGCTGGTTTTACTGGTTAGGGCTGATGGGAGCTGGGGGGGGGCGCACACATGTTTTCCCTGTCCTGTGATACAGAAGATCTATTGCACACATCAGCTTCACCAAAGGAATGCCACCTGAACAGTACCTCTGGGGTTTGGTCATCTGCCTGCCATAATATTTAATTACTACAGGAAACGGTCTCATGCTGCAGGAGGATGACTGGAAGGAAGGCTGATCTAAGAGCCTTAAAGTAGGGGTTTTTTGGGGGGAGGGATTATCCATAGGGTTTGGCTGTGTCCCAGTGTCTCTTGAGAAGGCAACATTCTCACCAGCATGAAGTCTGCACAGTCATTAAAACATTTTTTTACCCACCCAAATAAAAGAATGCCAAGTCACCTTTGGCCTTTTAAATTGTAACTTCAATACAAAAGCAAAGACTGCTGTTTGTTTGTTTTTTAATTGACACATACAGCCTCACAAACCCAAGCAGTTATAGATTTTGGGCTAAGATCCAAAATTCAGAAGAAGCTGCAAGCAGGCATGTAATTTCACTAATGATTCTTGGCTTTGTAGCAAGCAGACCTTTGAATGAAGATGCAGTCAAACTCAACTTCCTATCTTCCCCTTGCTTGTTTGTCCAATAAAGAAAATGCTCTGCAACAGACTTAATTTAAAACACTCAGATGTTGCTATTCCACTAAGAGACTGCACAATATCTCAAGCCCTTGTCTGCTGACCTGAGGAAAGGTGTGTTGCAAATGAGGCAAATGAAGTAGGTTTAAACAAGCCTTACTGTGTTCATGAGGGTTGACTCTGAATTCGCAACTAAAACAAAGACATCGGCATCCAAACAGAATTTGTCAATCCAGGTGTCTAGCTCTGTGGTGACATCGGTGCCAGGGCTGTGGAATGAAGTCAGAGAGTTACTCAGCAACCTGAAGAAGTTATTCCCATTCAGAAATAAGAACACAGAAGAGGGAAAGTCCAATCACATTTTGCCTTAATAATCCAAGATATGAACTAGCCTTTTGGCCACTCCCCCACAGGTGCTTTCTTCCTTCCTTAATGCAAGTCAGCAAACCAGGAAATTTTCCATTAACTGTTGCTTCTCAGTCTGCCTAAACCAAGGAGCTATGGTTAACAGCCTTGGAAGAAGTGAAGATATCCTAATCCAGTGTTTCCCAACCTTGGGCCTCCAGCTGTTTTTGAACTACAATTCCCATCATCCCTAACCACTGGTCTTGCTAGCTAGGGATGATGGGAGTTGTAGTCCAAAAACAGCTGGAGGCCCAAGGTTGGGAAACCTAATCAATTCAAAACCAGGGTTTAATATCTTGGCTTGTTCCCAAGCTGTCTTGTTCCGAGGGTGCTAAACCATAGTTTCCTGGTTTGGCTGAAACAGGAAACTGTGGCTAATAGAAGATTTCCTCGTTTGACTGGCAGGTTGTATGGAGGGAGAAATGAAGGGGTGTTGAAATGAACAGAGGTGAGCAATGCTTGCATGGGGTAGTGGTGAATGAATGTAGTTAATGTTTCAACAGGGGATAATTATGGAAGATGTTGCTATATGAACCTACTTTAGACAACAGGGACAAAGCAATATTAGCTCTGCCCGCCCCCCAATTACACAGCTCTGATAAAATCTCAACACAACCACCTGAGCTGAGCTCCTATTAGAAAGGAAGTTTCCATTGGAAGCTTCACTTCCAGAGCAAATAGCTTGGAAGGTGGTACAGAGAGGGTCTCAGTTTTCACTGGGGCTGTGGCATGCAGGGGACAGGGAAGGGGTAAAACTACTCTCCCTGGGGTCCTGGTCTTGATGCAGCCCTCACAGAGTGGTCCGCTGCAGGTTCCACCACACTGTAACATATCATTTGTGAATATTATGTTTGAAGCAGGAAGCACATCCCTGTTCTGACGGCATCTTGAAATTTGCCTGCACTGTCCAGTGACACACAACTTTTCATTCACGCCCCTTGACCTTTGGCTCCATTGTAAAATTTCAGGTCTTCTCTGCATCTGTACTCATCTATACATAGCTACCTATTCTCCTAATCGGTCCTTGTAAGCAGCATACTTATGATTATGTGTTTGCATGACTTCCAGTGACATACCAAAGAGGAGCCATAATACAAATTATACAAAGGAAAGGAAAATGCTCTATTAAGTAAGCAACCCAAGCCTAGATTAAGATCAAACCAACAGCAATGACCTCTAAATTCACACAATAAATTTGCTGGACTTGCAAACTGCAGCAGACCAGCACAGCTGCCCGTCTGAAAAGCATCACTTTCCCCAGTTGTTTGTTTGTTTGTTTGTTAAACCTCTCTCAGGAAGTCCAACTTCCAGGTCCTCTGCATTTTAAAAGAAAAAAATGGACAACCTGAAAGTGAAAGGGGACATTTCTGCACTCGTGTTTGGCTTAGTTTCGCAAGCACACTTAAAATTCAGCCAAGTGCTAGATTCCCTTTTTAAGCTCCAGTCATGGGACTTCCTCTTGTTTCAGCTGAAACCAAGCCAATCTGGGCACAGAGGCTTAGCAAAGAAGGAAGTGCAGCCAAGGGAGAGCCTGGGGCGTTTCAAAGAACGGTGCATTTTCTCACGGCGCCTTTATATGCCCAACAAAATTCATGAGCTGTACCTGTCCACTAACACCAAGTCGTCTCTCAAGAGGGCACACTTAGCCTTTGGCCAAAAGACGTGGACCAAGCAGCCAGCCTCTAAGTCTTTATCCATATGAAGGGCATGCGCAAGCTGATTAACAGTCTGTAAAAGAAATCAACAGGTTAGGAAGATACTGGTGCCTCTTAAGCTGGCAGTAATTGAAGGACCAGCATTCCTAAATAAGCTGTTAACATGAAGGTTACACAGGTCCTGAAAGACCTACATTGGCTCCCAGTACGTTTCTGAGCACAATTCAAAGTGTTGGTGCTGACCTTTAAAGCCCTAAACGGCCTCGGTCCAGTATACCTGAAGGAGCGTCTCCACCCCCATCATTCAGCCTGGACACTGAGGTCCAGCTCCGAGGGCCTTCTGGCGGTTCCCTCACTACGAGAAGTGAAGTAACAGGGAACCAGGCAGAGGGCCTTCTCAGTAGTGGCACCCACCATCCCATCAGATGTCAAGGAAATAAATAACTATCTGACTTTTAGAAGACATCTGAAGGCAACCTTGTATAGGGAATTTTAAAATGTCTGATGTTTTGCATTTTTTTATGGGCTGTAAGCTGCACAGAGTGGCTGGGGAAACCCAGCCAGATGGGTGGGGTATAAATATTATTATTATTATTAGGTCTTTTCACATATAAGTGCAGAACTCTTGCATATAATAGAGGTTTGGCCTCTCCTCAGCTACGTTTCTGTGTGTGTATTCAGTGATTCACCAACCCATATCCCCTTACTTTGAAAATTCAGATTGTCCTCATTTGCTCCACACGTTCTTACCTTCCTTCCAAAGCAGGCGTGGGAGATGGTTGGCACTCCAGATGTTGCTGAACTACAACTCCCATCAGCCCCAGCAAGTGTGACCAATAGCTAGGGGATGATGACAGTTGTAGTTCAGCAGCATCTGGAGGGACACACCTTTCCCACACTGGTCCTAAGGCCCTTCCCCCAAAATCCAGAAACACATACAGTGGTGCCTCGCAAGATGAAATTAATCCGTTCCGTGAGTCTCTTCATCTTGCGGTTTTTTCGTCTTGCGAAGCACAGCTATTAGCGGTTTAGCGGCTATTAGCGGCTTAGCGGCTATTAACGGCTTAGCGGCTTTAAGAAAAAGGAAACAAACTCGCAAGAACTCGTAAGACGTTGCGTCTTGCGAAGCAAGCCCATAGGGAAATTTGTCTTGCGGAACGACTCAAAAAACGGAAAACCCTTTCATTCTAGCGAGTTTTTCGTCTTGCGAGGCATTCGTCTTGCGGGGCACCACTGTACTGGATAACAGGCAAGTGAGGTGTCCACCATGTAGCCTCCGTTAGAATTCCTGCTCCATGACTGCAGTCATGGGATTGTTGTCTTTCACATGACGGTGTATGTTTTGACGCCACAGAGTGGGAAGTGATGGAGACAGGATGTTTGTGTTACTGTGTTCCATGAGGTGGGACTATTGTCCTTTGTTCTTTTTCTCTTTGCTGTCTGATGCTAGAGAAAGAGAGGGAGCCATGTTGCAGTGCTCCGTGTGTGTTTATATGTAAATAAAGTAGGTTAGCCAAAATGCTGAGTTGCTGAGGTCTGTTACACAAGCTGCGAAGACTCTGCAGATCCCTAAGTGTGCCGATGTCTGTTGGCATCGGTCGCTGTGATGTTTGGGCTGAAGAAAGCTTTTGAAGCTCCCGAACGATCGACCAGGAGGGAGAGAACATGTCTCTGCCAGGGTCCTACGAGAGAGTAGGACGAGCTCCTGACAGCCTCCAGTAGTCCAGCTGGACCCCTCTTCCTCCCCTGACTGCCACTCACAAGGCTCCTCAAGAACCATCTTGCTCCGAGGAGAGAATTCTTATTTTTAAAAATATTCTTGCCCCCACTATAACTTGTCTTTGGTGTTTTATTATACAGTTTTAATTGATGCTTATGGTTTTAATATTCTAATGCAAACAGCTATGTGAAGTTTGCATGAAAAGCAGGACACAAATATCTTGAAATAAATGAAAACAAAAGAAATTAACGAGTATGTAGGGACATTTGTGTTTGTCTTCTGTAACAGAAATTGGACTTTCCAAATCTCTGTGTTAACTCCTGTCCTCCCAATTGCCTCATTTTTAGCGTCTTCTGCATCAGCCTTTGCCAAATTGGTGCCCTCTAGATGTTTTGGACTACAACTCCCATCTGGAGTAGCCAGAACATGCAGCTGATGAGAGTTGTAGTCCGAGGACACAAACCTGGCTGTTTTAGATTTTTTTTAAAAAAAAGATTTTTGCCCTTATTGTTCTGTGCAGTAGAGAATAAATTCTGAAAAAATTGGCATAGGACAACTACTTCTTAAAACTTGGAACACATTCTTCTGAGTGGCAGAGGGAAAAATAAAGGATGACAGGTAAGAAACGAGTGTACATGTGTAGTCCTTTTAATAAGGTTTCTGGACACCAGTTTATAAGCCACGAGAATCCGTACCTTCACACTTTTCTTTTCATCCGAGCCCTCAGTCATGAGGTAAGCCTTATCGCCATCTGTTCCTTCCACGCTGAGGAAACAGTTGGTTGTGTGCCCAATGCCACTGGGAAGCACTCTGTCCCACAGCATGGCATTGATGACAGAACTCTTTCCGCTGCTGGTTCTGCAAAGGAGGGCAAGCGCAGGGTTAAACTGCCAGGTTTAAAACCGAGTGAGAACACTCCATGCTAAATTAAAAATCTAGCCCAAGAAATCAAAAGGTCACTTTTTTTTTTTAAAAGCTTAATTAGGACATGCAAAGGTTAAGCCAACTGAGTACGTTGGCACGATTCATACCCCACCCCATAAGTTTTGTGTTATTCCACAGAATTCATTCTGGGAGGGGCGTTGAACAAGACAGAGTAATGAAGCCATAAAACTTTGGACATTTATTCGACTCTTCAGAGATCTAGCCAAGCAACATCTACAGGCTTTAAAGTATTGTTTTGCAAACATTGCAGACAGAAAGATGATTTTATGAAATCATAAAATGAATGCATAAATGAAAACAGAGCCTCTCTGGAAGTTGAATTATATACCTCCTAGCACACTGTGTTTTCTTCTATACTCTGGTGGAATCATTAGCCAAAGGCTCTTTCTTTGGGGCCACTGTTCAAACATCCTTCTCGTTCTCCAGCTCTGGGAAACTTCCCAAGGCTGCTTTTGCTTTTGTTCTCCCAGGTTGTTCAAGACACAACTTACGGGAAGTCAGATTATGAGTCTCAATTCTGATTCAAAGCAAGAGCAGCTCTTGGGGAGAGGGGACAAATAGTGTTAGCAGCCTGGTTGCCTCCCCACTGAAACTTTCCCAAACAACAAGAAAGGGGAGAGGAGGAGGAGAAGACCTAAAAACAAAGACCACCCATAAACAGCATTAAAATAAAGGGGAACTGTGAACCAGGAGGTCTGCAGCTAAACTGTCATCTCCACTGAGCTCAGTAGTTGGGAAACTCACAATCTCTCAGCCTTACTCAACCTATCTGCAATATGGGTATGAATGATTCTGAACGGCCTTGCAAGGTTGCTTTAGGGACTGATGAGACAGTGGAACGCTTCAGTGCTTCTTGCACCACTCATTTCTATGAGACTTGTTCAGAAGAGACTCCTAGCAGATTGCAACCATAATTTTACACACTGATCCCAAATAAGAGTCATTTAACACTTACCTGCCAAAAAAAGCTACTTTCATGTGTCTTCGTGCGAGTACCCCACCAATGACTGCCAGCTTCTTCTTGTACTCCTCTATTTTTGCCAGTTCATCCTTGGTGGCTATATCTTCAAGTTGCGGGTTTTTGTAAGTTTCTGCCATTAAATGGGACAATGTCACAATGACACAACTGGCTGCTATGCACAGCAGTGCTTCCTTAATCCAATGGGACAAATTAGTGCAATGAGGGATCAAGACCCAGTACTTGATCCCTTGTGCCGACTCTTGCGTTGCCTTATCTCCCTAGACTCATTGCCAGCAACCTGGTGACCTGGTCCAAATATTTGAGAGATTAGCAGATTAGTATTGACCCATTAAATCACAGACCTACATGTGGTCATATGTAACTCTACAATTCTATGATTCTAAGTACTTCTAACTCCATATCCAATATCTGCTACTGCTTATTTTCTCTCTCCTTAACCCCACTTCCCAGCACAGTACAGAAGTGGTAGGGCCACTTTTCTTCTTCATTTTTCCTCATCTCAGTACTCCCAGGAACATTATTTTCTGGCACCCGTGAACGAAGGAAGGCATTTCTACTCTAATCATTTCTAACTAGATGGCCAAAAATCAAGGCATGTCAAGAAGTTCCTTCTTGATTACTGGATTTGATTCTAGATTTCTGTTTAAGTATTTCTGTTTCCTTTTTGTATCTTTACCAAAGTTACATGACCCAACAATCTTCCCCTATTTATCAAATAAGCAGCATAGGTCTTCCTCCTGCATGCCCTTGGAAGGCTCCAAATAACCAGCCACTTTACACCAACGTTCGAAAGCGCACTGAGCTTAAGAAGCACTCAGGGAAGTTTTCATTTACCAGATGCTGTTCAGGGACCTCAGAATTTGAATGGGTTGCCAAAGAAATCCTTGGCCCTCAACTGCATGCCCCCAAGGCAGCTCAAGCTCTTCTGTGGTATCAAAGTAGCTAACTAACAGCTGTCAGAAGGGCTGCAAACTGCTGCTTGCCCAGGCCCATCAGAGCAGCTGAGCCAATTGAATCAAGCGAGGCAAAGCAGGTAGGGAAGTCATGAGCCCTATGGGACCAAACCAAAAAAGGTAAAGCGGGTGGCGCTGTGGGTTAAACCACAGAGCCTAGGACTTGCCGATCAGAAGGTCGGCGGTTCGAATCACCGTCACAGGGTGAGCTCCCGTTGCTCGGTCCCTGCTCCTGCCAACCTAGCAGTTCGAAAGCACGCCAGTGCAAGTAGATAAATAGGTACCGCTCCGGCGGGAAGGTAAATGTCGTTTCCGTGTGCTGCTCTGGTTCGCCAGAAGCAGCTTAGTCATGCTGGCCACATGACCTGGAAGCTGTACGCTGGCTCCCTCGGCCAATAAAGCGAGATGAGCGCCGCAACCCCAGAGTCGGCCACGACTGGACCTAATGGTCAGGGGTCCCTTTACCTTTATGTAAAGCCCACAAGCAAGACCCACGTGCAGCAATGCCCTCTCCACTGGTGATTTCCAGCAACTGGTATTCAGAGGCACGCTGCCTCTTCCAGTGGAGGTAGAACAAAGTGTCTAGTAGCCACTGAAAGCCTTATCCTCAGTGAACCTGTCTAATCTTCTTTTAAAACCACCCAGGTTGATAGCCATCATTGCACCTTGTGGGACCAAATTCCATAGTTAAGTGGCAGAACAAACCGCTAAGCCCTTTCTAGTTTTACAACGTGTGTTGAGCCCCTAATCATCATTTTTGCCAACTTCTTCAATCCCAAGTTTACCACGCTAACAGTAACTCAACTGTATTTCAAGCCAGACAGAATCAAAACAGACGACGGACTCTCTAACCAAACCTGCCATCAACAGGTTATGGTGAAGCATTCTTAGATACTACCTACACATGCTGTGTGAGAGAAGGAATGGTTCTCAGTGTTTTCCTGCTGCTGCAAAAACATATATTCCCTGTCCCTCTCCAACTAAAAACTAACCTTCAACAAAATGCGTTCCTTCCGTAACATAATCCAGGAGCTCTTCAAAAATGGCAGTAATCGTCTTCTTAGCCAGCACAAAGTGTTTCAGGGGGGAGGGATTAGTGTCTGCCATTGTGCAACTGAAAGAGTAAATGGTACAGAAGTTAAGAGAAAGTGAATTTTAACTCCCAATCCAAGCAAGTCCAAATACATTCAGCAACCAAGGCAATACATCAATGGTGTCATTTGCAAGGAGAGTTTTATTCCCCTCTCCCATCTCTCCACCACAAATGGAAATGAACGTTCCTGGGCATAGGCCCCTCCACAGACAGAAGGGATTCCAGATGTTCCCACAATGCTTTGCATTCCACACAAGAGCATCCAAGGTACCTTCTCTTCAACACCAATGGAGGTGCTGACAGCTGGAGATATGACAGCTGAGAAAGATACTCCACTGCTGCCTTTCCCAGTGGTATTGTACTGTGGGAAATGAATTTCCATATGCTTGTTCAAGAATTGAAGTACTAGGTATGGATCCAATAGCAGGGATATTTACTGTAGGTATCTGCAAATTACTTCTACTACTAGCACTACAGTGGTACCTCAGGTTACAGACGCTTCAGGCTCCAGACTCTGCTAGCCCAGAAATAGTACCTCAGGTTAAGAACTTTGCCCCATTAGCTAAAGTGGTGCTTCAGGTTAAGAACAGTTTCAGGTTAAGAACGGACCTCCAGAACGAATTAAGTACTTAAGAAGAGTTTGGATTTGATATCCCGCTTTATCACTACCGGAAGGAGTCTCAAAGCGGCTAACATTCTCCTTTCCCTTCCTCCCCCACAACAAACACTCTGTGAGGTGAGTGAGGCTGAGAGACTTCAAAGAAGTGTGACCAGCCCAAGGTCACCCAGCAGCTGCATGTGGAGGAGCGGAGACGCGAACCCGGTTCCCCAGATTAGGAGTCTATCGCTCTTAACCACTACACCACACTGGCTCTCACTTAACCCGAGGTACCACCGTATTACTAAGTGTACCTTTACAGAAGGCTGGATTTCCAACACCAAGCACATTTCTGAGCCTAATTCAATGTAATGACTTGGTCTACAAAGCTTTGTATGGCTTTACAGACCAATATTTTTGAGGTTTTGTATTTCTTCCAATATGAAACTACTCAAACTCTTCAATCTTCATCTTAGCCCCTCCTTCAGGTACTGCCTCTGAGGAAGGTTTAAAGTGTTTCAACAAGGAATAGGGCCTTTTCAGTTGTGGCTCCTTACTAGTGGAATGCTGTCCCCAGTGAGGTCTAGATGGTGACATCTTTAACATCCTTTTAGCGACAGGTAAAAACTTATTTCTTTCCCCAGAGACGTGATGGATTAAGATGTTTTTGCTGCTTGTTGGTTATAAGTTTTTGCTGTTTAATTAAGTCTATTTTGTACAAATTTTATTGTAAGGCATTGTTTCTTCTTATTTGGTACATTATACACTTTATAAGTTCATACTTTATACGCTTAAAATTTTGTAAGGGGCAACTAATAAATTAAATATTAATATTTTATTGTTATTCACAGGACTTATTAGTCTCTTTTTCACGTGTAAACTCAAAGTGACTTACAATATAATGTAATAAATCCTTGTTTATGCAGAGAAACCCAATCATCAAAAAATCATGTCATCCACAATTAACATGTGTATATTTAAGCCTTTTGAACTTTTGCATCTTTTATATCCATGTTCAAAAAGTGTAATTCAATTCTGCCATACAATATTTCAATCATACTCCAGGATGAAGTAGTTTTATGACTAGCTATTATAATCCTAGAGACAGAAAAAACCCATTTCCAATACAATTCACCATTGCTAAATAAAGAAGATAAGAAATAATATGTATTATTATGAAATTTGACTGTTAAATTTAATCAAATGAGGGGGACAAAACAGCAAATTAGATTAGTAAAGCAGGAATCCTGTTTTCACAGTGGCCAATCAGATGTTGCATTAAATTTTATGCATTCCATTTATCTCCCTGTCCAAATGTTAATTTCTCCGGATTAGAAAAATCAGTACTATTTTCCTTCAGTGCAGAGCCTTATAGGCAATATTCATAAAACAAATGATCTCTTGAAAGTCTTATAAAGTGTCTGCAGCCTTCAAGTGCTTTGTAGTGAAGGCTCACATTTTTCTCTGTGACCTGCAAGTTAGGGTGTCAAACTCAAGTGAAATTGACTAGTAACCAGATTGTGACTAGCTTCTTCAGAGGGGAAGGAAATCATAACAGTCCCACCCCAACTGTGCCATACTGACCTAGAAAAACACTGGGTGTGTATCTCTGAGCTGTTGGAACTGTCAGATTCATGCAATATATGGAGCATGCACTTTGCCAGAAATGCAGTGTGATGAAAGACTTTCTATTCTGCATAATGAATATACCTTAAATAGCAGAGAGCTCCATGGAATCTTCAACAATACGTTTATTGGAAACACAAGCCTTTATGGGCCAGGGACCATACCCTCCGATGCAATACTGGCGACAGATCTAGAGGATATTTTTCACTTTCTGAAAACATTTTTTATTTGGGTCTACGCTGAGTAAAGCTTAGTTGACTACCACCCTGGTTCTGCAGTGAAGGGTTGCACGTTTGATCCCCGTATGGGACAGCTGCCTTGGGGTCCCTTCTAACTCTAAGATTCTATGAAGCTCTAACCTCAGTTGGCAAGTGTGCATTTGTCCGAAGCGTGGCCAGAAACCCTCTCCCCCACAATGCAAGATACACCACATTCCTGTTCAGAGTGTGACTTAAAATGAGATCCAGACAAACTATAAAAGATCCAACCAGAGGAGACATGAAACACTCCCACCTGGGAATGAACTGATAAAAAGATAACTCAAACTCAAAGAGGGAGTTAGCCAATCCCAAATCGCCTTGTGTATAGTAATACAGAAACATGGTAGGTTACACAATTTAAAAGTGAAATGAAATCACCACTAAGCCCGAGTTTGGAAGTGTCAAATCTCCCTATTAATTCTAAGTTGGCAGCTTCAGGCGGGACTCTGCCTTCGAAACTTCTTTGCTGATTTGAGTCTGAGAGTCTTTATAGGTGCTTTTGCTGAAACAAGCTCCCTGAAAGACTCAGAAGAGTTGGTGGGGCCCAACCTTATCCTGTCTGAGCTGCATTCTTCCGAGCCAGGATTCCAAGCTGGCAGGAACAAATAACAACAACAATGTTCGCAAGTGACCTTTCCTAAAAAAAGATTCCCAAGGAGAGATCAGGAAAAAAGGAAGAGGAAAGAGAGAGGGGCTTGGCAGCTGCGTCCAACGTACAGTGGTACCTCGGGTTAAGTACTTAATTCGTTCTGGAGGTTCGTTCTTAACCTGAAACTGTTCTTAACCTGAGGTACCACTTTAGCTAATGGGGCCTCCTGCCTCCGCTGTGCGATTTCTGTTCTCATCCTGAAGCAAAGTTCTTAACCTGAAGCACTATTTCTGGGTTAGTGGAGTCTGTAACCTGAAGTGTATTTAACCTGAAGTGTATGTAACCCCAGGTACCACTGTACTTTGGGTTTGCTCCAAGTCGACTACAGCACAAGCCCCTTTTAATTTGTCTGTTGCACCCAATTCTGTTGGGTTTTTTTGGGTTCTTCTTTCGGTAGGGCACCCCAGGAGCAAGTGTCTTGACTGGGGCGAGCGACCTGCCTGTCCCACAGCTAGAAGATTTACAACAGCTACTTTTTTTTTTTTAAGGAAGAAATAACTCGATGCAATAAATAAATGTGAAGAAACCTGTCAGAGGAGGTCAGGCACGAGGTAGCCCAATGCCTGGGACCAAGTTCAGTTTGGCATTACATAAGCCCCCTCGAAGCCCCCTCCAGCCTGAAGCAAAACCTGACAGAAGAAGCCCCGCAACTCAAATGGGGGACGAAAGGTCAAATCCCCCCCCAAAAAAGCCCAAAGGTCACTCGCCCCCCCTCCCCTTTTACCTGGCAACGGGAGCAAGGCTCGCCCCCCTCCCGCGCTCAGCCTCGCCGGCGTCTTCCGCCCCTCGCTCTCGCCCAACCAAGAGGAGGCAAGCATCACTTCCGCCGCCTCTCGAGCGCCTTCCTCTCACCATCCACGCGCTCCGCCATCGCTGGTCAGGGCAACGGGACCAGCCGGCGTCAGAGACTCCCTTTGCGCGTGCGCCGCGGTTAACTCCGCCTTTAGCCCCTCCCACCATCTCGCCGTCTCTTCCCTGCGGACGTTGGAAAGCCTTTCGGTTCATTCCGGGCTCGTTGCATAGAGATAGGAAAGAGCGGGAGTGGTCGAGGGAGCAGAGGTGCAAGTCGACCGCCAGGGGCAGGCTTCGTTGTTTTATTTATATGTTGAGGTTCTTGGCTGAGTGTGGGGATTTGAATCCTGGTTTCCCAGGTTCTAGTCCAGCAATCTAACCCCTGTACCACACTGGTTTAGTAAGGCATCTTAAAAAGCAGATACATCACCTTGCCAACAAAGGTCCGTATAGTTAAAGCTATGGTTTTCCCAGTAGTGATGTATGGAAGTGAGAGCTGGACCATAAAAGAAGGCTGATCGCTGAAGAATTGATGCTTTTGAATTATGGTGCTGGAGGAGACTCTTGAGAGTCCCATGGACTACAAGAAGATCAAACCTATCCATTCTGAACGACAGAGGACGAGATGGTTGGATAGTGTTCTCGAAGCTACCAGCATGAGTTTGACCAAACTGCGGGAGGCAGTGGAAGACTGGCATGCTCTGGTCCATGGGGTCACGAAGAGTCAGACACGACTAAACAACAACAGATTCCCGTTAAAGCTATGGTTTTCCCAGTACAGTGGTACATACGCTTCAGGTTACAGACGCTTCAGGTTACAGACTCCGCTAACCCAGAAATAGTACCTCCAGTTAAGAACTTTGCTTCAGGATGAGAACAGAAATCGTGTGACGGCGGCAGCGGGAGGCCCCATTAGCTAAAGTGGTACCTCAGGTTAAGAATAGTTTCAGGTTAAGAACGGACCTCTGGAACAAATTAAGTTCTTAACCTGAGGTACCACTGTAGTGATGTATGGAAGTGAGAGCTGGACCATAAAGAAGGCTGATCGTTGAAGAATTGATGCTTTTGAATTATGGTGCTGGAGAAGACTCTTGAGCAGGGGTCAGCAACCTTTTCCAGCCATGGGCCGGTCCACCGTCCCTCAGACCATGTGGTGGGCCGGACTGTATTTTGAAAAAATAATAATGAATGAATCCCTATGCCCCACAAATAATCCAGAGGTGCATTTTAAATAAAAGCACACATTCTACTCGTGTAAAAACATGCTGATTCCTGGACTGTCCGCAGGCTGGATTGAGAAGGCGATTGTACCGCATCTGGCCCCTGGGCCTTAGGTTGCCTATCCCTGCTCTTGAGAGTCCCATGGACTGCAAGAAGATCAAACCTATCCATTCTGAAGGAAATCAGCACTAAGTGCTCACTGGATGAACAGATCCTGAAGCTGAGGCTCCAAGACTTTGGCCACCTCATGAGAAGACTCCCTGGAAAAGACCCTGGTGTTGGGAAAGATGGAGGGCACAAGGAGAAGGGGACGACAGAGGACGAGATGGTTGGACAGTGTTCTCGAAGCTACCAGCATGAGTTTGACTAAACTGCAAGAGGCAGTGGAAGGCAGGAGTGCCTGGCGTGCTCTGGTCCATGGGGTCACGAAGAGTCGGACACGACTAAACAACAGAGATTCCCCTCCAAAACACACTCATGCAATCATAGAATTGTAGCGTTGGAAGGGACCACGAGGGTCAACTGGTCCAACCCCCTGCAAAGCAGGCATCTTTTGCCCAATGTGGGGCTCAAACCCATTACCCTGAGATTAAGATTTCAGCCTTCTTGCTTGTGCCTGTTTGCTCAGCAGTAAAAGAAGAAGAGTCTTCGGGAGCCATAATGACTTAGTAAATTTATTATGCCACATGCTGGTGGGACTTATAGTCCAAAAAAATTGGAGGGCACCTAAGGCTGCAGTCCTCTATGCACACTTAACCTGAGAGTAAGTCCCTTGAACTCAACAGGACTGCCTTCTGAGCAGACGAAGATGGCACAGTTAGCCACTACTCTACACTAGATTAGGTGCTTAACAGTGCAATGCCAGAAGTTAAGTCCTTCAGAGTTTGATGGGACTTACTCCCAGGTTAATGGTGTATAGGGTTGCAGCCTAGCAATCTGCGTTCTTCAAGGGCCTCTCCATTGCTTAGCCTTTAAAAAGATGTTGCAGCAAAGACCCGATAAATGTGAAATGTGAACTATTTGGAGCATTTGTACCCTGCTCTTCAGCTCCCTGAGTGGTTCACATACAATTAAAAGAAGTCAGTCCCTGCCTGCAGGGTTATGATATAAGAAAAACATGGCACGTGAAGGAAAAAGGATACAAAGGGAAGAATCAAACCCAGGCACTAAGTTGCTCTTATAATGACCAGCTGGCTCAATTCCTGGGGCACAAAGTGCCTGATCAAGCTGATCTTTCAGCTAATGCGAGCGAGCTGTGTTTTCCATCTTCCCCACTGAAGCAGTCTCATGGAATGGCTACTCCCAAGTAAGTCCCATTGTGCTCAATGGAATTTCCTTCTGCATAGGCATACATAGCTTTGCACTGCTAGAATAGCAAGCAGCTGAGCAGAGCAGAGCAGAATAGTTTTTGCCCAGAGGCAAACTGTGCCACTTGGAAGCTTGCTAGACTACCAGAGCTGTTGGTACAATAGCGTAGTGGATATAATTTTATAGATTATAGCTTGGGGATATAAAACATTTATAGGTCACATAATAAACCTGAATAATTTAAGAAGATAGAAATTAACGGCAACTCCCATGGAAATACATGCTGTTAGAAACTGAAATATGAAAGCTAGAAGCTAAATGGACCTTAAACCTAGGTTATGGATGCAACAGTGGAATGTCATGGAAGAATACAAAGCTGGAAATGAACTGGAGCTAAAATATGTTCATTTTTCACATAGTCCTTCTCCTGCCCACACCCTAATATTCTCAAGAGGGTCTCTTCTCTAGTCTTAAGAGAGTACCTGGAAGTGGGGAGGCAGAAAAAGGTCCTTTCCTTCCACTCTGCAGTTTTAATCCGAAATCTTAGGTGAAGTACTGAGCCCAGAGAACAGAAACTGCTTGCGCTAATGAAATTCCCTGTCACAAAACGCGCCTAGAACAATGGGAGTTTCAAACACTGGATACATGGTGCTTTCATCAGTCTTATCACGGTAGGTCCAGAATTCAAAGAGCTACATTGCACTTTAATGGTCCACGGTCCCAGAGCGCTTCCTCAAGCAGCAGGAAACACTTTCTCTGCTTCCAGAAAGCAATTCTATTGAGAATTTAATTTTTTTCAACCCTCTTAAATAACGCCCCCCCCATTTTGTGTATATATATCTACTTTTCATATACACAGCACCTTTTTTTGAGGCATACGTAATTTCACTTCCCCAAGATCAGTGTGGAAGACCCCTTACATCAGGGTTTCTCAAAGGGTATGGCAGGAGAGGATGGCAAGTGTGGTGGGAAGATTCAGGGACAATCAAAGAAACAATCAAATCATCAACACAAATTATTTTTTTGCTATCTACTTTTACACTTGCATTATTTGCTGGTTTCATTTGCTACTGTGATGGCTTTTAAGATGGTTGTTTTAGGTTGCATCCAACATTAGTCAAATTCAGTACACTCGTTGAAGGTCTTCACTAATGTCCATTAATTTTAATGGGTCTACTCAGAGCAGAATCCAGTTTTATAGTCCTTTTTACCATGTTATGTATTTATAGAGGCTTTCAGACAGCTTGTAGTTGTATATTGGGTCGTATTTAAATTAGTGCTAAGGAGATCGTTCCATCAGTGCAAATCTTTCTACCTGCCCAACAGAACAACTTCCCCTCCACCGCACTGTACTGGGGCTTACATAATATTTATTTGCAAGTGGCATGGAACAGGTTTTCCACAGAAAAATAAAGCACTGGAAAATCTGCTATCCCACATCACTGGTGTAAGACACACTCAGCTATATATGTATGACTCTCACTTGGGAGTGATGGTAGCAGAACAAGGAGATGAAACATGAAAGTGGCAAATAGAGGACTTGCGTAGAAGCTGTTTTTCCAACTTACTGACATTTACATAGTGTCCAGAACAAGAGCAAACTTTCAAGTCAGCTCTCAACTTCAGTACTTCTACATTTTCGCCTGATCTCAATGTGAGACCACTTTGGTTCAAACACAGATACTGCCACTTAATGCCTATACTGTTATGAGCAGATCCCCCTCTAGATATTGGTAGATATTCATGCTATCACCTTAAATCTTCCCCTTGCCAGATTTTAAGGGACAGTTTTTCAATCATATAAATAATATTCTCTGCTCACAAAGTGGAACTTTTCATGGTGTCCTGTACGAATCTACACATCTCTACCTGCCGCTTGATGATAATAGTACGGAACACAAATGACATACACATATCTGAGTATTTATTTTTGTCCCCCCCCATAGGTACAAAACAACTTTATACTATGCTATCTTCATACACCAACTGCACATGCTATTATGCATTAACAGGTTCACTGACACACACAACTTCCCCCTCCCACCCCAACTCAACAGCTGTTTTCACTGATGTGCTTATTTTCTACCTGCAGAAATCCTGGTCAGGAAACCCAAAAATGCAGAGAAGAAGTCATTGATTGCACTGATTGAAAATTCACCGAACATTTCTTGAACGATCTGCATAGTATGTGTAAAGAAAGCTGGTGGGTTGGGTCTGCAGCCAGCTCACCCTACAGGGCTGCGAGTTCAAAGCCCTGGTTTCCATTAGAGCCAGGATTTATTACTGAACACAAGTAGGGCTACATCACAAGTAGGCCTCTGCCTATAGTGATTCTTTCCTAGTGACATAGGAGTAGATTCATTTGAAGTTCATTCAAGGATAGCATATGTAGAAAACATGTTTAAATTCTAATATTCTGAGCTAGATTCTGACACAGGGACACACAGCAACAACAACAATCAAGCAATTTCATGAATTTGAAGATGGCTTAAAAGGTCTTTTTCATTTCCAAATCTCATCAAGCAATCAGTGCACTTGTGAGGCAATTCAGCCGAATGCCTGAAGT